TTTTGGGTGGACCATCCTGAATTTCAATGTCTTGTTCGCGACACTTGGAATTTTGCTGATGCCACAACAGTTCAATGTGTATCTTCAACTATGCAGAAGGCTAAGGTTTGGAGTCGTGTCTCTTTTGGGAACCTATTTAAAAGGAAGAAGAAAATTCTTGCTAGATTAGATGGTATTCATAGGTTCCTCTCCTCTCAACATAGTAATTTCCTCACTAATTTGGAAAAGACCCTTACCAATGAATATTCAGACATTCTTAAGTTGGAGGAAGACCTCTGGTTTATGAAAGCTAGAACCAACTGGCTTGTTGATGGTGACAAAAACTCTCGATTCTTTCATGTCACTGCCCTCAAGCATAGGTCCCAAAATAAAATTCATGCTCTTAAGGATTCAGCTGGGAATTGGTTATGGAATTTGGAAGATATTAAGGTGTTGTGCAGAGACTATTTTAAAGACCTTTTCACTTCATCCCTGTGTTATTCCTTCTCTGATTCCTACCAAGTGGCTGACTTATTTGGGAATCCCTCCAATCCTCCTCTGGCTGACTTGGCTAACCTTCCTTCTGAACAGGAGATTTGGAATGCCCTTCATTGTATCAAACCTTTTAAAGCTCCTGGGCCAGATGGTGTTCACCCCTTTTTTTATCAGAAATTTTGGGATATTGTGAAAGCTAAGATATGCCCTGAAATTATTCAAGCCTTTGCTACTGGGACCATTCCAATGGGCTGGAATGAGTGCCTCTTAGATTTAATCCCCAAAGTGAGTAGTCCAGAATCCTTGCACCAATTTCGTCCCATTGGTTTGTGCAATACTTCTTATAAGATTATATCTAAGATTCTTGTCAATAGAATCAAGCCTTTTATGGACAGCTTGGTCTCCCCATGCCAAGCTAGCTTTATCCCTGGTAGAAAGAGCTCGGATAATGTCATCATTCTTCAAGAAGTTGTGTATGCTTTCAGTAAACGTGCTGGTCGTGAGGGTGATTTCATTGTAAAAATTGACCTCGAGAAGGCTTATGATCGTCTTGAATGGAGTTTTATTAGAGAAACTCTCATCTTCTTTAATTTTCCTCCAGATTTTATTAATCTCATCATGTCATGTATTTGCACTACCTCATGTTCTGTTCTCCTAAATGGAGAACGCACTGATGATTTTCTACCTTCACGGGGTATTCGACAGGGAGATCCCCTTTCCCCTTATATTTTTGTTTTATGTTTAGAATTCCTTTCTCTTACCATGAATAAAGGTCTTAGCATGGGACTTTGCAAAGGTAGCAAAATGGGACGAAGAGGTCCTACACTTTCTCACCTTTTTTTTGCTGACGATCTTGTCTTCATTGGTAAGGCTACTCTTGATAATTGTGCTTTTCTAAAATATGTTCTGGATTTCTTTTGTTATAGGTCTGGCCAAAAAATCAATCAGGATAAATCCAAGATTCTATTTTCGAAGAATGTTAACCAAGATCGTAGGGAGGCTATTTGTAACATCCTCGGGTTCCCACAAACTGAGTCTTTGGGCAAATACCTTGGTATTCCAATCTCAAGCAAGAAAGCTAGAAAACAAGATTATGCCTTCATCATTGACAAAGTCAGGAACAAATTGGATGGTTGGAAAGCTAAGTTTTTCTCTTTGGCGGGTCGGAATATTCTGGTCCAATCTGTCCTAGCTTCCATTCCTAATTATTACATGCAATCCTGCATGCTACCTATTTCAATCCATGACCAACTTGATAAAATATCACGTGATTTCTTATGGGGTTCTAATGAATCAAGTCGCAAGATACATGCTATCAGCTGGAATCAAGTTACTGTACCTAAGCATTTGGGAGGTCTTGGTATAAGGAGTTCTAAGGAAGCCAATCTAGTGGCCATGGCCAAGTTAAATTGGCAATTATTCTTAGATAAAGAGAAATTGTGGTGCAAGGTGATTGTTTCCAAATATAACATTGGTAGTAGACCAGGGACACTTCCTGCACATGGCTCGCCTATTCTAAGATATATTCGAAAAGGGAATCCTCTCTTTTTACAAGGCATTAAATGGATCCCAGCTGATGGTAGTGACATCTTGTTCTGGTTTGACTGCTGGGCTTTTGACTATCCTCTCAACTCCAAGTTCTATGGACCCCTCCTCTCGAATGACGTGAACCTCACACTTGCAGATGTCTTCCCACAAGGCAAGCTTAATCTTGATATTATATCTCAGCCCTTGGACAGAGACACGTTAGAAACCATCAAGGCTACTCCATTTTCTTTTTCTCGTCACGGAGGGGACTCTTTTGCTTGGAAGGGTTCATCTAATGGTCAGTTCTCTTCTCCGGTAGCATACAAAATTGCTAAGAATATTCCCATATCCTGTAAGGGAAATTGGCAGTGGATTTGGAAGTTACATGCTCTCCCAAAAATTCAGAACTTCATTTGGCTTCTTTGTCACCAACGCTTGAAGACTTTTGAATATTTACATTGTATTGGCATCCTTGATAACTCATTATGTCCATTATGCTCTAATACATATGAGTCTTGTTCTCACCTCATGAGTTCCTGTCCGCAAGTCCTTCCGATTTGGAATTATTTCTTCAGAGATGATTTTCAACTTCCCCAGAATGATACTACTTTCTTTGACTGGATTCAGAGGAACTGTACAAAAAAGAGCTACGCCCCTACTATTCCTGTTCCATGGGGTTCTCTTTTTTGCTTTGTTCTCTGGACAATCTGGATTCATAGGAACAAAAAAGTTTATTGTGATCAAGATTTTGACCCCAACTTTATCTGTCGGTTTATTAGAGAAAGGATCTTTGAATTCCTATCTGTTCTCCCTAGTCCCAAATTTGGCAGTCATTCTTCAACACAAAAACTTGTTAAATGGGACAAACCACCGGCAGGCTCCTTTAAACTTAACACTGATGGTTCAGTCATCAATAATCCAGGTCCAGCCACCTCTGGAGGCCTTATTCGTGACCATAGAGGACGTTGGATTAGAGGCTTCTATAGGAAGATTGGTATTGCTTCAAGCCTTGCTGCTGAAATCTGGGGAATTCGGGATGGTCTTCTTTTGGCTAAACATCTAGATATTCAATCCTTAATTGTTGAAGTGGATTCCTTTATTGCCTTTCAGTTACTCTCCACTGGGACTGACCATCATCACCCTCTATGTTCTCTCATTTCTGATTGTAGGGCCCTTGTGGTGGATCTTCCGCACGTCCACTTGCAGCATGTTTACAGAGAGGGCAATATGTGTGCTGATCGTCTTGCTGCTATGGCTCATTCCCAGCAAGAAGATTTTGTCATTTTAGAGGGTTGCCCCTCAACCCTTTTTATGTATCTCTATGCTGATATGTTGGGAACTATGTATCCCAGAGACTAGTTTATTTTGTATCTTTGTCTACTAGTTTAATATTACTCTTCATTCCACCAAAAAGAAGGACAGGTTATTGATAGATAAGTCAGAGGG